GGAAATACTTCGTGGAACTCATGAGTTTGTTGGATGTGCAAGTGCAAGAAATGAAGTCAATGAGTAATTCCATACGGAAATTGGAAGGTACAGGAAATACTTTATTTGTTCAATCAAGTGGCTATACTTGATTTCTGCCGAAAAAACAGTCACTTCGTCATTTGTTTGCAATCAGAAACTTCTTGTTTACAAAATTGGAATCTGATGATGATTATTTGATTTTCCCATCTTTCTGCCTAACCATCAGGAGAAACAAAAGCCTCGAGAACCTCTCTTGTTGATCATGAAGACAATCGCATCGCTATCACAAATTCAAAGGTCAGCTGACAGTAGCACAAATTTGATATTCTTATTGAAATGGGAAGGCTTTCGATAATATGATATCCAGATCTATCCAAAAGAAGGGTTTTTTTTTTAACTTTTTACCTTGAATCTGTTTTACAGCAACAGTATGTGAATGGCAAGGCAGAGTATGACGTGCGCTCAGGTTATTATTTTTTAATCAGTTGTCAAATTTCTAATTGTTTAATCTTTCTAACTTATATTGATTTCTGCTTCATATTGTTACAATTTTCTGTACAGTGCAATCTTCCTCAGCTGCTGCATCTGTGGAACCAGCACCTCATCCAAAGTCTTATATGGATGTAAGTAAATTTTATGGCCTTTTCATTGCTTGGAAATGTTTTTAAAAGAAGTGGTGTCTATTATTGAGAGCTTTTCTTTTATCCTATAAAACCCGTTTAATGTTTAAGGGATGCAGTGTTCTTAGAACATATAAAGTTGATGTGGTTAAATAAGCTGGCACAAAATACTATGTTATCTCTCAATTTGAGTTTGGATGGTCATCCAGTGACAGTCATTAGATGCAAAGAGCTCGTTTATGGGGATTTATCAGGGGGCTATGAGTTTACTCTAGCCTTCGCGAATTTGTTACTAAGAGTAGCCAAATGTAAGGTTAGAATGGATGAATCGTATATGATTCAGGAGGCCTAAAAGATTATAAGTTGACGAGGTTGAAAATTATCTTTCACGCACTGTGAAATTATCTAACCTTACTCTAGCCTTCGCGAATTTGTTACTAAGAGTAGCCAAATTTAAGGTTAGAATGGATGAATCGTAGATGATTCAGGAGGGGCCTAAAAGATTATAAGTTGATGAGGTTGAAAATTATCTTTCACGCACTTTGAAATTATCTAACCTGTTGCTTGTCTGGTAGTCTTTATCATTCCAACTGCAAATTGAGTTTGCAGATTATTCATGTATACGTTGTAAGTTTATATTTGATCTTATGTTTGGTCAAGTCTATGGCCTCATAATATTATCACTTATGTGATAACTTCTTGACCGCGTATTTAACTTTTACTATAATATTGCAGATCATGGCCATGGTACAAAGAGGGGAGAAACCTCCTAATGTCAAAGTAAGCTCTCTCTTGCTTTTTTTATTGAAATCAGTTTTTTTTTTTTTTCTTTTTTTTTTTTTGCTTAAATGCTAATTGTTCTTCATTCTGGATGATGTGCAGGACATTGATGATTTTCTCCCGAACCCTAATCAGCAACTATCAAATCCTCGCTTGGCACCTAGAGCTAAGGTATTGCTTTTGAGAGCTTTTCACCTTCCCCTCTTTCTCCTTTCAGTAAAAGGAAACAGAAACGGTTATGGACTAACACAGACTCATTGAGTGCATTAAGCAATTTAGCAATAGAAAATAATAGTCTCCACCACCGAGGCCAGTTATTTAAAATTGGGCTACCAACTTTTGGTGTCCAGTAGGTTAAAGCTAGGATTCGAAATTGATTCACTCCAGCTTAGGAAACATTGTTTTTTTTTTCTTTTTGTCAAAGATTAGGAAACATTGTTGGATCATTTACAGCGTGTCTTTCAAAATCTGGATTCTGGACAAAAAGAAAATGGTTCTGTTTTATCATTCCTAAATATAATCATGGAATGTTACCAGAAATAGTTGTAAGCTTTATGAAATTATAGAGAGATTTATTCGACTCTTTCAAAAGTTTGACTAAGTGTAATAAAAATTCAGTTTTCATGCTTTGATACGTGGAGATGATTGGTACTATATGTTTTCTTGGGTAGCCTTGGGAAGTTGGTCAGGCCCAAAACAACCCGAGCCAAGCGCTTCAATCTCAAGTAAGCGGTGACAGTTTGAATTCCAGCATTCAGGACAATGGGCTCAATTATCAGTCAAACGGTGACAGTACAGTGCCGTGGTGGCAGCAGCAGCAGCAGAAAAATTCCAGAATCACTGAGATAGAAAATGAAGTCAATGGAGGGTCGTATGGTGTACGAACTAGTGAGCAACCGGTTCAGCGTACATGGGTTCCTCCCCAGCCACCCCCTGTTGCAATGGCAGCAGCAGCTGAAGCTATCCGACGGCCAAAACCATCAGTGCAGAAAGAACAGCTGGGTAACGATCTGCCCATTGCACACCCATCAGAAGCGACCAATGGCCCATCAGACGGGGCGGATGAGTTGCAGAGGGTAACAAAATTAGCTGAATCTGGAGGTGAATCGGAGCAAATCAATGGGAGTTCACCGCTGAACTCTACTACCGAGATACAAGAAGAGGAAGTGAGCCGTTAATAGTCATGAGTTCATTTCATTGAACACCTTAATCATCTCAGGTACTAGTATATCTATATCCGTTATGTAAAATTGCTCAAGAAATACATGTATATTTCTGTTCTTGAACATCCGTATTCACGAAGCCATCAGCTTCATTTCGTTAATGTTATATTGACACTGCATTTCTGGTGCAGATTTCTTCTCCTTCGGAAACCTACCCGAAAATCTTTCAAAAGTTAACTCAGAGATACAATAGTAATACATGCATGGATGAGATGAGAGAGCAGAAGAAGATGTTGACGTATAAAATAAGTTGCTGAAAGGCCGAACCTAAAGTGCTTTTTCCAAAAGCTGTATTTTAGGCTTTGGTGGTGGTTACACTTCTGATAAATTTGTTTATTGAACATTATAAAGAAATGGCCAAACGCTGAATCAGTTCAGAGTATATAATGTGCATGTTGGTGGTTATTTGCATCCAATCCTGCTCAATCCGAATCCCGTTTGGTGATGCTTCTTTAAAAATCACTTTTGCTCAGAAACACTTTCAACGGTTTTGGTTTTGATTCTAGTCCCATACCTAACTGCACCGTAATGCGTCCACCCCACATTGAACAACTTGATCATAGATACCACTCGTATACGTATGCATGTTGACGTACTTTTTTAGTTAATATCTTGTATAAATGCACCGTGCAAAGAAATACGCGTATAACTACTCGTATATGTATGCATGTTATGCACTTCTTGGTGCATAATTCACGCCGTCGGCAACCTAGTAGAAAATCATTGAAAAGTTTAGACAGGAGTTATGAAATTATCACCATATGAAATTTGTGAAACGCGCGTTTTGGTCACATGGAGAATAAGGAGCCTTTGTAAAACTTGAAGTGTAGAGTTGGACACTTCTGGCCGTCCATTTCTTATTGATAATTTATTTATAGTCTTTTATCCAAAACAGTCTCTGAAGTTAGCATAATTCTTCAATGTAATTTCTGATAATGAAAATCGATAGAAGTGATCTATGAGTTTGTTTATTATAAATAATTTTGATTCTTCCGTGAATATTGACAAATTATTCAAAGAATGATCAAAATAATGTACAATAAACAAACTCATATACAACTTTTATCGATTTTTTCTTCATGATTTTTAGTGGGTCTAGCTTTTTTATGATAGTTACCAACTTTCTGTGGAATTCTAACGAAGAAGTTAATTTGGTATTAATTTCAATTGTACACGCATGAAATAGCACTACATACCCCTCACCTTTATGATCACCACTCACCACTCACCACTCACCACCATCTCTCATCTTGTACACCTATACACATATCCTACACCACTACACATCCTAGAAATGAAAATTAGTGTAGCCTCGTTTGATAATTATTTCGTATTTTAAAATCATTTTATGTTTAATTTTTTGTTTTTGTTGATAAAGGGAGAAAATGTGTTTAAACAAAATGGATTTGGACCGTCGAATCTGAATATTTGTAATCACGTTTATCTTGAACATAGTGACTAATATAAAAACTTATGGTGGGTAGTAGGATCCAATAAGCATTTAGTAACTTGCTTAACTTCTTGTGATAAGGTATAGACCATAACCTCAATACTTCAGATACCTTAATCCTTTTGACCTAACAAGAAAATAAAGGAAAAAAATGGGATCAACTCAAGTCAGCATCTATTTCGAATGAGGATCCTCCTTGGACTCTCTTTGTAAGGATTCCGGGAATTCTCAAATCACATTTTTTCATCGTACATCATACGGTAATATTTTTATTTAAAATTGAATATAAACAGTAGCTGACGAAAACTAGCTACATAATGTACGATGAACGAATGTGATTGGAGGATCCGACCCTCTCTCATCTATTTCTACCCCTTAGAGTTTGGACAGGCCCTACACTTAACAATTTCTCTTCTTTTTCAATTTCATCGTAGAGAAATCGTGTATGAATAAAGAGAAATGTTAAGGACATTTTTTATGAATTTTCTGTCACTTCATAGTTTAACATAAATTTATGTATCAACATTATAAATATTGTGCCAAAAACATGAAGTGGCAGATGATCCATAAAAAATCCCATTTTTGAGAGTCTTCTTAGTATTTCACAAATCTAGCACAGTAATAAACACAAAAATAGAAAGATTTTGATAAGCCTTCCATTTCAAATACAAGAGAATACAAACTACAATTATACAAGGCAACAATTCCCTCCTCAGAATCCACGTCAAATGTTTTGGATGGATTATAGAGGAATATCATGAAATGTTGTAAACAGCATACTCCTAAGTCCCTATCCTATCCAAATAATAATATGCTAACTTCTAAACGGCGTCGTATGCTAAATGAAGGATCAAATTTTCCCACTAAAATGGTAATTACAGTCCACCAGAAGAGGCTGATTCCGTTGTCGTCCCCATCCTACATATCGTCCTTATTCATCTGTCCACACCTCACTTCCCATGTTTTGATTATTTATTTGTTTTAGTTTTTACTAATATTTTTAATTCAAAATAATTTATTAGCAAAGGAAGAAACCCAATTTACTATTATTAGAAAACCCACTACAAATGTTACTATAAAGTTCTGCAATTTCCAGCACCACAGAAAAATTGGCTCAAAGGGTTGTCTTCTTTTTGTTCATTTATCTCAAAGATTATTGCTTTTTGTTGATTTGGATCCAAAAAGTTAGAGTTTTGATTGGATTGGATGGCTCTCAATTTGTTATCTCCAGCTGAAATCAAAGCCATCTCTTTCTTGGATTCCGCCAAGTCCAGCTGCCACCTCCCCAAGCTTCCAGGTAGCAGTTACTGTGCTTCTCTTGCTTTCAATTTTCTGTTTGGTTCCCGAGAAAACTGGCAAGATGGAGACTTTTTTTAATTCTGGCTTTCCAGAGTGCATGCTGACATTACTGCTCAAATGGGTCACTGTGATTCTGTGATTGTAAAGTGATGAGGTCCATCTACTTTTTTGTAAAATTAAAAGTTCATATGATGGAGTGGATATATGTGCTTTTTTCTTTAAATTTTACTTGCATGAGCTCTGAATTTTGATATTTTGTTTGTTGAAACATAGGGGGGTTTGCTTTGAGGAGGAGAGATTGCGGAACTGTAATTGGGAGAAGAGTTCAATGCTCAGCTGCACAGACACCTCCTCCAGCTTGGCCTGGACGTGCTGCGGTGGAGACAAGCCGCAGGACTTGGGACGGTCCCAAGCCTATTTCGATCGTTGGATCTACCGGTTCCATTGGAACCCAGGTATCGAAAAGATTGTTTCTTTTCTTCTAAAATTGTTTATTGGAGATTAAGGATACTAATATACTAGTAAGACCTGTATGGAGTTGTTAACAGAAAAGAGAATTAAATTGATAGAAGGTTGGAAGATCAAATATTGAAATAACATGATTTACTTCATTTGTGGGAGTTGTATCTTGCTGTATAAGCATCACATGAATCAGAAAGTTTTTTAAACTCTATTTTAGTGGTGGAAAAGAAGCTGTTTTTCTTTCTTAAAGGAACAAATTCTGGGAATCCCATTTGTTGATTATGATCGGATTCTGTTGTTTATACAGACATTAGACATAGTGGCGGAGAACCCAGATAAATTCAGAATTGTGGCGCTGGCAGCTGGTTCAAATGTAACTCTTCTTGTGGATCAGGTAATCCATTAGATAAGTAACGGTTCCTAGAACTTAAAAGGATTGTTCATCCCAACTTATGGGTAAGTATTGAATTTCGAGTAGACTCACCCCACAAATTCACCCTGATAATAAAGTTACCAACCCTAGTAAATTGGGGTTCTGGATTGATATTTCTTGTCTACGTTGGGGTTGAGAATCCATTTTTTGCATTGTACAGGTGAGGAGATTCAAGCCCCAACTTGTTGCTGTTAGAAATGAGTCATTAGTTAATGAACTTAAAGAGGCCTTGGCTGATTTAGATGAAAAGCCCGAGATTATTCCGGGCGAGCAAGGAGTTGTTGAGGTAGACTAGCATCTAATTGCCCTTGGTTGATGAATTTTGTTTTGTTCATCTTGAAGGAATTGCTCATATTTTTCTCTTCTCAGGTTGCCCGCCACCCAGATGCAGTCACAGTAGTTACAGGAATTGTAGGCTGTGCAGGACTGAAGGTAATTGCTTTGTCATTAAAGTTGTAAGTGTCAAAATTTTTTCTGAAAAGAAGCTATGCGTATAACTTTTGAAATACATAATTTAGGAACTGAAAGACAAGGGAAGGTTGACGGGATAGCAAAGTTGGCTAACAAATTATAATGACTGATGATTTATAACGAAATTGAACAAATGTATTTTCAGAAAAGAAAACAGTATTTGACTTATAAATGAATATAAACTAGGAGACTTAATTCCCGTGTTACTTTTTTATCTTAGCCTACAGTGGCTGCAATAGAAGCAGGGAAAGACATAGCGTTAGCCAATAAAGAGACCCTGATTGCTGGAGGTCCTTTCGTTCTTCCTCTTGCTCACAAGCATAATGTGAAAATTCTTCCTGCTGATTCAGAACATTCTGCGATTTTTCAGGTACGGAATGTTTATTCATCTTGATAGCTAAAAATCTGTCAGATAATTTATGTACTAATAATGGATATATCTGTTACATACATTATTATGTTTGTATTACAAAGCATTATTACATTACGTGTTGCACTTTATTTTAATGCTTGCCGGATCATTTTATATTTGTGACTCTTATGTCATAGTGAAGCTTCATGAATTCTCCTTTTTTCAGTGTATCCAAGGCTTGCCAGAGGGTGCACTTCGGCGTATCATTTTGACAGCGTCTGGTGGGTCTTTCAGGTATGAAATCATAATCTAAGTTGGAATATGAAAGCTGAGTAGTATTTAACTTTCTTACTTAGAATATATAGAAAGGGGTTACCTGTCAATGTTAGCAGGAATTTATCATTTTCCTCAATTGTTTGAACTTGCCCATATTTTTTTCTTTTTCTCTAAAAGTTTTTCTTGAAAGAAAAAGCATTTTAAATAAGAACTACTAAAACATAATTCAATCCACAATTTCGCATAGGATGTTCCTGTATTCAAGTTCACTTCTAACAGTGATTTACTTTTGTTGTAACATCTTTCTGAATGATTTAGTTTCAGTCATTAGTGAATATGCGAAATTAAAAGAAGTTAAAGTTGCATAGGGAGGATTTTGACGATTTCTCACTCCAATACTGACAGGGATTGGCCTGTTGAGAAGTTGAAAGAAGTTAAAGTTGCTGATGCTCTGAAGCATCCAAACTGGAATATGGGAAAGAAGATTACTGTTGATTCTGCGACTCTTTTCAATAAGGTTTGTTATCATCTGTGTTCATGTTGAAACCGTTTATATGGAAAGCACCATATTAGAGCTGAATATTAAGTTCTTTGTACTCATTGACAGGGTCTCGAAGTCATTGAAGCTCATTACTTGTTTGGAGCCGAATATGATGATATCGAGATTGTGATTCATCCGCAGTCCATTATACATTCAATGATTGAAACACAGGTTCAGCTACTGAACATTTATCTGTAGTTTTGGCATGCTAATTTTGTGTTTTAAATGTTTCTTTAGTTTGTAAAAACACTGCAAACTCATATTTTTCGGATTTTTGTGATGTTCTTCTCAGGATTCATCTGTTCTGGCACAACTGGGATGGCCTGATATGCGCTTGCCAATCCTCTACACCATGTCATGGCCAGAGAGAATCTACTGCTCTGAAGTAACATGGCCTCGTCTTGATCTGTGCAAGTAATGAACCTTTTCCTTATTTTATTTCATGGGGCTCCAGCTTGCGTCCTTCTTCTTCATTTTCTTTTCATTTATGGTAACGTAGAATTTTCTAAATGTTCCTTCTGATAACTAAGTTATGTTATATGAATAAGCATGCATTTCTGACTCTAAAGCTGGGTAACTATGTCAAATATTGTCGGAACTTCTAATGATTCAATGGTGGTTTCGTCTATTGTGAATCCTGAATGTTTAATTTAGTTTATAAGATGCCCATTATGTTGCCGAAATCTACTACAATCATAACACTTCCTTCTTCGAGAAACTGTCACAGATTGACTAGAAACTAATATTGATGCAGGCTAGGTTCATTAACCTTTAAAGCTCCTGACAATGTGAAATACCCATCCATGGACCTTGCCTATGCTGCTGGACGGGCCGGTGGCACCATGACTGGAGTTCTTAGTGCGGCAAATGAAAAGGCTGTGGAGATGTTTATCAGTGAAAAGTATGAGCTCTTTATTCATTCTCCCTTGATAGAAAATGTTAACTTTCAAACTTTGGCAACAATTATGGTCACCTCAGCAGTTTAACTGCCCGAGCTGTGAAATTGCAAATCTTCTCGCTGGTGTGCAAGTTTTCGTCATGCGAAATTCTCTGCTAATATAAAAGTTTTCCTGTTTTGCAGAATCAGTTATCTTGATATTTTCAAGATTGTTGAGCTAACATGTGCTAAGCATCGGGCAGAACTAGTGGCCTCGCCTTCCCTCGAGGAAATCATACATTACGATTTATGGGCACGAGATTATGCAGCCGATTTGCAAAGCTCTGGAAGCTCAATTCCTGTTTTTGCATGATCAACTTACCAACCGATGCTATGATCGGAGAGTCAGTCAGTACGTTGAATCTCCCAAGATTTCACAAGCTTGTGGGCGGGGGGCGGGGGACTGAACGGAAATGCGTTCCCCCCTTAAATAGGTTCTAAATGTATGAATACGTTATCCCTCTGAAGAGAAGTCCTACTGTGGACGGTAAAATTTCGAAAGACAGAAACAAGATGAACTATTGAAAACCCGATCTGTAGTGAAATTGTGCATTGTTTGCCCTTTGATTCTCTGTTCTCAGTCCTTGTTAGGCCTGGTTTGGTACTGAGGTGATTCTAAAAAAAACTGGTATCAAAAAAGCTGGGAGCTGTTTTTGTGTTTAGTAAACATTCAGCTTCAGCTTTTTTTTCATAGTTTGGGTGAAAAAAGCCAAAAACAAGAAGCTGCAAAACCTAGCTTTGAAAAACCGGTTTTTTTTCACATTTGTTTTACATAAAAATTTGCCAAATACTATAATACTGCTTTTTTTTTTCAAAAGCATTTTTACAAAAAGGTTTACCAAACACTCTGCTGTTTTATTTCACAGCTGCTTATTCTTACAGCACAGCAGAAGTAACTTTTTTTCAAAACACAGCAATACCAAACTAGCCCGAACTTGCGAAAAATAGGCCATTTTCTCTCCTTTTGGGAGTGTTACTACCGCAATGTGAACCAAGTTCCAAGCTCCAACCTCAATCAAAAAAAGGTGGACGTCTGTGTTGGGCTGGGGAAGAAATTTGAAAAACTCCAAGCTAGCCACCCCAAACCAGAAAGGCCCAAGAAGCCTAAAAACAAGGTTGACAGCCTAAAAGCTCGGTTCACATTGTGGAGTTCCGACTAAATATGAAACGCATACTCAATACGAGCATCTAAAATTGCCATTAATCTGGCCCACTAAGTGTTGTAGCATTATGTCACTTCAAGGATCGATTACTCTGTCTAAGTAGAAGACCATTGTAGATGTTCGAACCTAGTACATGTTCTTACCGTAAAAAAAAACTCTGCATTGTGAGCGTTAAAAATTATGAGCCTCTTTTGAAGGAGGACTTACACACTTAATTTGCCTCCTTGGTGGTATCTCAAACCAATGACACGAAAAGAACAAAAACACATACAAATGATAGTGGAGTATTAGATAGCTAGAGATGGCGATGCATGTAAGAAGGGTTGGTGTAGTTGACAACTTTGCTCTCTCCACTCTCCATTCATCGTTTTCAACTGAAGTTGAAATATCCAATAATGCCCTCCTCCTCCTCCTCCTCCTCCTCCTCCTCCTCCTCCTCCTCCTCCTCCTCCTCCTCCTCCTCCTCCTCCTCCTCCTCCTCCTCCTCCTCCTCCTCCTCCTCCTCCTCCTCCTCCTCCTCCTCCTCCTCACATGCATCTAAAGATTGGAAACTGTGAAAACTGCGCAATCAAATCAAAACAAACAAAATGTCCAAAGAACACGGGCGCTTTGTCCAAATGTCTCCATAAAAATTCCAACGATTCCCATTACTCTAGTCTCCGTAGTCTTTATAATGAGATGAAGAAAGCGGGGTTGTCTCCAAAAGTATTTAGAGATTAAGAGAGTCTTTGAGGAGTTCAACAAAATCACGATTCATTGGAGCCTTACGATTGGAAATGTTGTTATCATAAGGAAGTTATCTTTGTATCATGGAAGACAAACGCTAATCAACTATGAACACTGTTGTTGATATAAACTTGTCTTAGAGATAAAATGTCGAACATTAAAATATTCTGTGTCCGAAGGTGAAACAAAATCAAATACTAATGATTTTTATGAGAGTGAATAAGATAGCTACCATTACCAATTGTCATGCTAATTGACACATCGCCATGATTGATGGTTCCTCCACTTGTACATGATATTACTGGGGAAACAGTGTTATCAAACAATAATTAATGGCAATTTCTTTCAAGGTTACAATTCTTCGTCTCAGAAATTTCTTCAGTACTATGTAGTATTGAATGATATGAGAATAAATAATTAAGATTAAACATAGAAAATTTAAATAGTTGTGGAAAATAAATCTTACAGCTACATCATATTGAATGATACGTATCATTAAAACCACACCAATTTTAACATTTTTTTACAGTTGCATGTCATTGTTCATATAAGTGTATGTATCATGTACAACATAAAATCAATTGGCAATATGAAAAGTAATGCAATCTACTTATAAGCTCGTGTAATTTGCTTTCTTTCATCAATATGAGATTCATTCTCAACATTCCTCCTCAGGTGTGATAAATTTTCAAGTCAAATACGTGGATAGTACAAACGGGGTAACATAGAGCATGTATGGTCATTGGACTTCACACATAAGACAACATACTTTGATAGTATGAAGAAAGTTGAGTTCACTATAAAATCATTGGCAATATAAGTAGTAGCCTAATTAATTATAAGCACATGTAAGGTCCATAGTTTTTCTTCATGTGGAATTCATAATCTCAACACGTGCCGATGGAGATGGATACTAAAATGTGGATAATAATGTGGGCATGAAAGTGAAGGTGCGGTCTGCCATTTTAAGAGGTTGAAAAGGAAAAAGCCAATTTAAGTGGATTCCTGTTGAACAATGAACATGGCCAGCTCCTGTTCATTCTTTAAGGAATCTTACCCACTATAAAATTACACATCCCCAACCAAGTAGACAGGTACCACATAACATTACTGCACACATCAAATGTACATACAACTTCGTACGAACCCTATTTTTCTAATAAAGATGTTGTTTTAGAGTTTCATTTAATACGTCGGACTGTACTGTATAATTTCTTACTAAATAGTATTAATTTTGGTACCATGCACAAAATTGTTCCCTTGTGCCTTCGTTTTCATAGCCAAGACTATAATGTATAATTCTAGTCATTTTGTGATGATTACATTTTCCTTTAAACTGTCAAACGTCACAATCCACTGCACTATAATGCATTATTTTAGTGGTGTGTTGACTGTTATCTTTCATATTGTCAAACGTTACGATGAAGCGGACTAAGAATCTGGATACATGGTTTTGTGTTTTGTATTGTATTAAATGACTCATTGGACAATGTTTTCTTAGTTAGTTTTAAATAAACTATATAAATTGCAATTGTAAAGAATAACCTATTTCATAGTTATTTTTAAATAAAATTTTTACTGATCTGGTACAATGCAAAAATCAAAGAAGAGGATGGAGGGGGTATAAGATTCACTTCGGATTTCTGTGTCTGGAGCTCGAGAAACAAGAGATCTAGAGCGTTCAAGAAAGAGAAAAAAAGATTCGGGCCGTTTCAGTTTTTGAATTTTTGTGGACTTAGTAGAATAAGCTAATGAGGATCGTATGATTGAAATTAAGTGGTTCAAATTTCTCGATCTGCAAGATCTAGACACAGAAATCTAGAATGGGTCTCAATCCGATGAAGGGGAGGCTGGGGAGGATGGAGGGGAGATGAGATCTCTCTGTGGAATTGATTGGGCATGACCCAAAAAATATGGGTTGCCCACTGAGATTTCTACAGCCTTTGGCATTGTATGCCCTAAAAGAAGTAAAAGGAGAGGATGTGAAAGTAGCAGCTATTGGCTAGTACCCCACAGGTTGCAGGGCACAGGCAAAACCAGATGGCCACTTTCCCTTCTCTGCTAGCTTCTCCCTCCCTTCCTTTCATTACTTGGTCTATTATCCCTTCATTATGGCGATGTGTAAAAGAAGAAGCTACATAAATTTCATCTGAGATGTGACCAATTATCTTTTTAATTTGTTTATATTTGGCAGAGGGAGCAATAAAACGCTAACTAGCTATTGGTATATAGATATTTTTCTTCTAATTTTACAACAATAACAAGACATCAGGATCACAAATACAATGAGTTGAAGTAATATAAAATAGAGATGAACTTATCTTTAGAATACGATAAAAGGTTGGCGGTGAAGAACTCATAATTGTCTTATGCTCTACAATTTAAGTTCTCCTGCTAGTGGATAAGGTTTAGCATTGGAATAGGATGTGTATTGTGAGAGCATGGACAATCCTTCTATAGTTGCTAGGATATCTCTCAATCAAGCTTATTTTTAATTGAGAGATACTCATAATCACAATTATATATTTTATGTCCTACCAGAATAAGTCGTACTAAATATGGACTACGTAATTGGTTAATCAGAGTTAATATTATTATTCTAACCATATTAGCGTTGCAAGATCACTTGAAGTCACTTAAATAATAAGTTACTTGAAAATCAAGTAATCTGATTGACAAGTCAACAATACTCATATTAACTTTTACAAACCATTCATCCTCTCAGTTCTCACACCAAAGACGGACTACAAAAGAAATACTCATATTAACTTTTACAAACCATTCATCCTCTCAATTCTCACACCAAAGACAGAATACAAAAGAGAAAACAAAAGAATCTGCTTTTACACTTTCTCAGTGTTTTAGTTTTAGAGGAGCTTTTTGCAGCTGGATAATTGGCACTGAGAAAATAGCATAATGGTGCATAAGATGAAAGACCCAGGACCAAATGGTACCAAAATGGGACACAAAAATATTGCTGCCTTGTGAACTTCACATTCATCCCACCTTTAATTTGCTTTTTCCACCTGATATTTCTCTGTAATTGCTTTTTTGGGTCCCATTTTAAAAAACTTTAACAAAAGAGTCACCGTATTGGCTGTATGTATCAGCCAGCAGCCACATCCAATTCTATGAGAGCTTTATGAGAAAGAAGTTCTTCGTTCATTATGACTTGTGAGAACATATAGTAATGGAGAAGATACCATATGCTAGAAGTTAAGGGTTTTGTTAGGGACAAATTTACATGGTCGGGTGGCTAACAACCGTCAATCTGTATGAAATCTATTGTGATAATTTTTTCTGGTCGACGTTTAATAATTACTTACGCACAAATAGGTGACTATCCTTAACTTTGAACGCAAAATACATATTGTAGTTGCGCATTCAAAAAACTAGACCTACTACTTTTGATACAAGGTATTTCTTCCTTGACAGCATGTGTAATGAAGAATAAGAACATAAAGTAAATACAAGATAATATAAAAAAAGTAAATAAAACTATGGGAGTGAAGGGTAACGTCAGAGAAACAATTTGTTTAAACTATATTTTGTAAACCATATAATATGGTTATTGATGATTGAATTATTCTTTAAGTGTTGATTAACGTGTTTATTTACTATCTGTGACACATCGAATGGTTTGCAAATGTGATCTGAAATCAAATGGTTTGTAAATGTGATCTGAAAAATTGGTCTAGCCAGCATTAATCGAAAGTGAAATATCAAGGTGTGATGCCACATGACATGTGTGATTATGTAATTTGGTATATCAATACAAAGCTAGTGGATCTAATTTGCAATTGAATCATTTTCTCATTCAAGTTTTTTATATTGACCTTGTAACTTTTAGAAATGTATAATAAATTTGGTTTTTGAAATTTCAATAGCCGAATTTCATCTTTCCATCTTCCCCTTTACTTGCAAGACAAATTCAAACTTGATGAAGTTCTATTAATAGTCTTAAACTACATTTTGCGTAACTAAATTCAACTAAATATCATTTACGAACTAAACAAATGAGACTTTCAATTTCAGAATTTTTATCACAGTTGATCTTAGAAATTGGACCGTCAGATCAAAATAGTTTCAAAAATAGAAAATCTATCCATCTAGTCTCTAAAATTAAACCCCGTAAATTCAGTTCGATCTAATTTCATAGACCAACCGTGATTAAAACAAAAAAACTTGAATTTATTGAAAGATTATAGGAAGGGACAAATCCCTAAATGACTTTTTGGCAATACCGCGTGAGATCCAGACAGCAAAAAGTTGTCACAAATAAAAAACATATTCATTTCCATGGATGAACAAAAATACAAATAGAAATATCAACACCAGAATATAATATTAACTCATGATATATTACATATTTCCATTAATTACATAAAGTGAAGAAATCCCATATTAAATTAGTTAACCCCAACTATTAACTAATCGTAAGTTCTCACAAAACAAAAAATTAATAAAAATTACTAATACAAAATGAGAAAATACTCACACCCAAAAAAAAAAAAATATTCAAAACTAAGGAGAAATTAAATAATTTTCAATTACTTGATCACTCAAAATGGATGCAAATTCCTGCTAAGCCCATTCACATTCGAGAAAAACCCCACAAAGTCCTGCCTGTACGGTATAAACGACCGTCGTTTATCTCCTTCCTCCGCAGTCTTGCTCCTTACGACATAACGCTCTCCATTCTCCGACATGCCGCCGCCGCCGTCGACTCTTTTCCGCGTGACGTTATCTCCCTTGTTGTTTTCGGCTGTCTTGGTCGACGAGGGAGCCAAAAAGGCGAAAGTGTCCTTGCCTTCGCTGCTGCTCCGGTAAAGAAGGTTCCTAAACTTCCACCGCTTCGAGGACGAGCCGGCGGAGCTGCTCTTATTGCAGCCGCGCTGTCCAGGCGACGGTTTCGGGGGGGCCCACACGCAGTAAGTGTCAGGTGGCAGGTTCTCGAGGTCGTCGGCCTCGGATGACGAGCAGGACGGCGTTTCGCGCTCGTCTTCGTTCATGAGCATTCTGAGCGGTGGACGACGTTGTTTCGGCTTCTTAACGGCGTCATCCACATTGCCGTTAGCATTTTTAGACGATACGACGTCGTTGTGAGGTAACAATAAGTCTTGGTTGAAGAGAGGGTAGACGGTGGGTTTGATTTGACCGTTGGAGAAAATCTCGTCGGCTGAGACGTGCGACGTGTGCGGCTCTCCTCCGCTGCTGACAAAAGAAAACTCAAACTCCTCCTCTTCCTCCTCCTTGTCTTTCTGTACGTTGTCGTCTCTGGTTTGTTGGCGGTGGTGGAGTTTTTCTTCTTCCTGGTGATCGTATAGAGTTTCCCAGTCGGACTCGTCGGTGAGTTGGTGGTCTTGGTGGGAGAACTCGTCAACGACTCGGGCGGCGATCTGGGCGAGTCTGTCGGAGGAAGAGTGAGTGTTGAAGCTGGGGGAGAGCGAGATCAACGGACCTGTGGCAGCAGCTTGCATTATTATCAATCTGGTAGAGCGCTCAGGAAGCTTCAATTCTCTGTGCTTGGAAGAAAGGAGAGAGGAAAGATAAAGGGAGGGAAAGAAGGAGGAGGGGTTGGTTGGGAATGAAATGGATTTGGGACTTTATAAATAACAATGTGTGAGTGGTTGTGAAAAATTGGCTTCAAATTTTCTATTTTATTATGTGTAATAATAACAATTCTAATAATATTAATTAATGAAAAAATTGAACAGTAATCCCCACTTTTTGCTAGGGTAAATTATTTACAATAATTAACCACCGTGGGGTGGCCAGGAGTTAGAGACGAAATTTAGGTCCGCATTCCACACGACACTTCTTGGATTTGATTTCTCGTACTAGTAAATCAAACTATGGTGGCAAGGGAGAGACTAAAGTGTCTCTGTGAGTCGTTCCGGCCCCCAAAAGGATAGACTACTGTAGTAAAACCACCAACTGGTCCCCTTTTCAAGAAAAAAAAATTTACAATAATTTGGAAAGGTAAAAGTTTCGAACCTTAGACGCATGAGGAAAAACATAACACTTTATCCACTAATATATTGAACCACATGCCATCTAACTTAAGTACTTAGTTTGATGCAAATTTTGATCTAGTCACTTTACTTTGATAGAGCAAATGTATTTGATTTCAATTTTTACACACATTACAGATTAGTTAACGTAAAATATCGTTGCATTATAATGTTTTAGTTAACGTAAAATATCGCAAATCGACAATAAGTGATAATTCAAATTGAAAGCTAATTTTGTCCATTCAGGTATAAAAAAATATTAGAATATGTGATAAATCTGCAGTGGAACGAAGCTGAAAATAAAAGAGAAATTATGGATTTTTGTTTATTCGTAAGAAAAAAGAAAATGTATGAATATTATTTGTAGAAGCTGACCGGTGCTACTTGACATGTGTTAAGCTCAAGTGTTCACAAGTGTGTGGAGATCTCTTGAGAAGCAGTTTGAAGCTTAAGAAAACAAAACCAAAAAAAAGGTTTGGCGGGTTGTTGAATCATCTTACTTGTATTATGATTATAATTATTGCTGACAAAATAAACTTAATTTAAATATGCGTGTATATGTTTTCCCTTCGTTCCATTGTTAGGACATCTACAAACTGTTTTTACATAGCCATGTGCGGTAGCATACATTCAAGAAAAGAGATACGGTAATCAGTGATGGATTCATGAATTTTTTTTGTTGAGAAGAGCGAGGTATAAGAGTTTGATGTGGTGCTTTTGCTTAAGTTTTCTCATTGGTGGGTAGGTATTAATGATTCTGGCACTAGAGGAATTGAGCAAGGAAGTTGGGATAGAGAAAATTAAATAAGGTGGTGAATGTGTTGGAGGAGAAAAAGCAAAAAATGGATGCTGGTTTCGTGTTAAAAAGGAGATCCGCAACCCCGAGCCACCCTATCTTGCTTAAGCTGCTTGGCAGGAAAAATTTTGATACAGTTCGGGGACTTTTCGAAATCTGTTGCCCACCATTGGCCACAACATAATGAGGCTAGCCACAATTAAGTATCAGAATCACAAAAATATATAATCACCAGATCTCTCAAATTTAAAATTTTCAATAACGTCCAAGTGAATAAAAATACCAAAATACCATTTACACTTTGAAAGGGATTAACCAATTGAAATTTCGGTATTTGCCTGAGCAAGAATATCTGAGGGTGACTCGTGCCCTGTGATCATTAATTATAAAATAGAAAGACAAACAAATTTGATTAATCTAAACCACCAGCAAGTGAGGACTACAAGCTTATTTGAGAAGCGTTTTTAAATGATTGAATTTTTTTTAAGAAAATGATTTTAAAAAGCACTTTAGGATTTATTTTTATTTTTACTAAGAATTAGTTTCAAACACATTTTCACTAAAAGCATTTTCACCCATTTAAAAGCACTTTTCAAACGAGTTTTCAACCCACCAAATTGTTACTTCTAGATTCAAATAGATATTTGAAAATTCTTTAGGATGATAGAAGGAAATTGAGGGACTGTGCAAGCTGTGATGTGGATATCAAAACCTTGATATGGAAAGATATCAAACTTTTTCTCCAAACTGTGAGAATAAGACAACCCTTTTTTTATATAAACTATTATCTTTTGCCAATTAAACCTACCTAACCTAATAATAATAATAATATCCTTAGGGGTTGATGATATGATTTAATGGGCTAAATAGAAGGGAGACGTTACTTTTGAGCTTGTCTTATGCTCTTGCCCACACCTAATCCCATTGTCGAGGAAAACTCACCTGCAACAGTTTTAAATTCTCACCGTTTTCTCCTAACATTTCTCGTCCCATTCAAATAATAAGAGAGGCAAAGACAACAAAAGTACGAAATTTTAATATAAATGGAATTTGTGCTCGCCTTCTGAATGTGAAAGACTTCTTTTGTTGGTATACCAAATAGACATATATATTAGCTTACACTGAGTCAGAAAAATGACCAGCATACAAAAAGAACGTCACTGATGCAAACAAAACATTTATAATGATTTCTTGGCTCCGTTCTCTTCCACAAACCCCCTTGCATATGGTTTCACTTGTGTCAATGTAACGATATCTTAAGAACTTGCCATATACATCCGACCACGTGACACTCTGTTCGAAGTTTCTCTCATTGAATTGATCAATAAGCCCACCAAATATATTATTAGCAATGATGTGGCCTAACATGCTTGGATGATTTTTGGGTCTCTTACCAAATTTGTTCCAATTTAATTTCATGCTTGCAAATAATTACATCATCATTGCATATGATGCAAAGCATTTGGTATGAATAGGAATGGTTTAGGTGTGCTCAAGGTGTGAACAATACATTTTGTATGAGTGTGTCACTGCATTTCTTGCTCATTATTTTCCCATCAAATTAGTATGTATTTTCCTTAGCAAGTAATGTGCTTGAAAAGCACACGTTTAGGTAAATAAATGAATAGTATTAATCTACTGCATAAATCAATTTAGCCTTGGAAAGCAAGTAAAGTACATTTCTTGCTGCAATTATGAACTAGCATGGATGAGCCTTGATTTCGTTGGCCAGTGTTTCTGGTTGAGTTATAATTATTGGATCGTGCCTATGCATAAAATATACACCAATAGTTCCAACCAATTCATTCCCTCTATAATATGATAATATTAGTAGATTTAACCAAGTTGAACAGAGCAATTTACTCTTTTTTCTACACCCAAGATCGGAATTTGCCACCTAATTAAAATGAGGTTAGTTCTTCTATTGTTCGTCAACGAAGTCAAACATGAAACTAAGCCTGGTTAGGATGTGTTACAAGTACATAGAAGGCTCAATTCATCTTAATATTTGTGGTTGTGTCTGTACCATGATCCGAATCATATATACGACTTGTGTATTGTAAACGATCTATGAATATATTCTATTTACTCTCTAAGTTTACCGTATACTACGTATATATTTATCAAACCATACCCTATTTTTTTTCTCCCTTACAAAAATAGGGGGAAAACGAAAAACTGATGTGATGCTAGCACCAACTAATTGATTACAATTAACAAAAATTTGCACCTAAAGATTCTCAACGTGTGTGAACATTTTCATTACAAGGTTGTAATCAGTGTGAAAATTCTGGACCAGTCAATGAAGAGACCAGTGCTTCTAAATTTTAATTAGTAATGCTTACTTTTCTAAATCTCTGCTTTTTAGAATTAAAACATCTAGAACCTTGCTTTTTTGGACAAAGATAGATTTATTACCAATATAGCAAAATTATACAAAAAGAGACCCAATTACAAAGTAAGCACAAAGTATAAAAATGGATCCTCAAAGCGAACCAAACAGACTTTAAAATTCAAAACAGAAGAAAAATAAAACTGAAAATAGAAAAACCCTAGCAGCCTGCTACCACCGCTGACACCGGAACATCGCACACAAATCATCACAAACTAGCACCCCCAACAAACGCCTGAGATCAGTCCAAACAAAGCTCCAAAATTGAAGGAAATGAAGACTACAACATTCTCCAAAGAGCACCACAAAGATCGCAGCTACAAATCAAAAGAAGTCGGTGAAAGAAGACAACCACGAGCAACAGTACCAATAAAGACAAACATAGAGAAGAAAGTAAATGGCAAAAGATCAGAGTAGGGCCACATTTCACCACAGTTTACTACCAAAACTTTGTCTTTTGACAACAATTTTAAAAAATGGTGGATCGACAATCTGCTGAAAAATGTGGCATAAAGTTCCTACAGACAATAAGGAAAAGAAAAAATGAACAAAAATATTTTATGGTAGGGAAATACATCTTCTGGAAGGCCTCGTCACAGTAAATATCATTTTCAAGGAAACTTGAACTTTCATATTTTAATCTTGAACAAAGAACCTTCGAAATATTAAATAACTTTAATCAAACTCTAAAAATATAGTACAAGTCTACAAGGACATTGCCAACTAATTCCTGAAAGCACAAAACAAATAAAAGTTCTACTAAAACACTACAAATGCATTATAAAGATACTGAACAACGGCTTTTGAAAAGTGCTCTAAAAAATATTGCTTCTAATGATTTTCAACCCTTCATCTAAATTTTGTAGTGAATTACTGAAAAAACTTAGTTTAAATTTCATAAATTTCAGAGTTCGTCCAAACATATAGTTAAAGAGTTTTATTTTTCTTTTTCTCTAAAATGGCATGAGGCCCTAGGCCAAATTCAGTACTTTGTTATGAGGAGGCCCAAAAGGCTAGGAACCATGCAATTAGGCTTCAACTTTTGTGGTCTTCAACCATTTTGCTCACTCTATCCACAACTCTACATGTTTTTCTAAGTTTTTTGTGAAAAATACTGTTGGAGCGAGATTTCTTGCACGAAGAAATTCCTCCACAGGTTCGTTGACTATAACCCGCACATTTGTCGATTCCCTCATCGAGAAGCGACCCTAAATGCTCCTTCTTCTAAGCTTCGTTAAGGTGGGGGAGGGTACCTGCAAAAGGTACTACGACGCTTAAGTCAGTCAATTGAATTCATATCCTCTAGTCTGGGGTTTCAATTGCATACCTTGTTCTTTGACTCCTCTCCCTATTTAGAGAATTTTGACGCTTGGAGAGCAAGTATGACGACATGTCC